AAGACATTACACAAAAATCACACCTCTACGAGAAGCCATTAGAAATTGAAATTTAACATCAGTGTCATTTGCAATAGCACTAAAAACAGAAATATTTAGGTATAAATCTAAAAAAAAAAAATCTATGCTGAAAATGACAATACACCGTAAAAGAAATGGGAGAAGACCTACATGTGCGCAGGGTGGGAGGCTCAGTGGTGGGCAGGTGCTGGATCGCCCCAGATTGCTGTTTAAGCAGTTCACTCCCAGCCAGAATCCCAGTAGAACTTCTTTGTTAATGACAAGCCTCATGAATGTGGAGAAAAGCAATGAAACTAAAATAACTAAAGAGATTTTTTGGAACAGAAGAATAAAGCCACAGGGCTCATACGACGCTATTTCAAGACTGAAGTTAGTCATCAGGATGAGCAGAAAGGGGGAAAGGACAGACACACAGATCGATAGGACAGACTAGAGAACCCAGAAATAGAGCCGCAGAAACAGGTTCCATTGATTTTTTTTTTTCAGCAAAGGTGTGAAAACAATCCAATTCAGCCAGGAGAGGTTCTCAACAGCAGCAGCCTTGATCCTTCCTTCACACCTCATCAACAGGCAGCACCAAGCGAACTGTCACCCTGAATGTGAAACCCGTACTGCAAAACTTCCAGAAGGAAATAGAAGAAAATCCTCTTTGGTTAGGATTCAAAAAGATAAAATTCAAAAGGGCCAAGCCATAAAGGAAGAAATGATAAATTGTACTTCATCAAAGTTAAGAATTGGCAAACCAGGCAGAGGCACTGAGGACGTACCCAGGCAAGGAAGAGGCTCAGAAGTTCACGGCCGTCCTCAGCTACATAGCAGGTTTGAAACCATCCTAGGAGTCCATGAGGTCCTGTCTCAAAAAAAGGAAAAGCGGACAGGGGGGACAGGGGGCAGCAAGGTGGCTCAGCAGATAAAGGTGCCCAATAACGTGCATTTGGTCCCCCCAAGTCTCACATGGTCCTGGAAGGAGAGAAACAACTCCTCCAGGTTGTCCTCTGACTTCCACACATACACACAGGAAGTAAATAAATGTAAATATAGATATAAGAATTTCCTTTCATAAGGCAGACATTGTGGCGCACACTGTTAGTCCCAGCACTTGGGAGGCAGACGCAGGCAGATCTCTGTGAGTTCAAGGCCAGGTTGGTCTACATAGTGAGTTCCAGGTCAGTCCCCACTACAAGGAGACCTTGTCTCAAAAAGATAAAAAAAAGAATTGACTTTCATTAAGAAGATGAAAAGATTGTGGAGTGGTGGTGCACATCTATAATCCCAGAACTTGGGAATCTGAGACAGGAGGATCTCAAGTTCCAGGGCAGCCTGGGCTACATAGTAAGAACTTATCTCAAAAAGGAAGGGGAGCTGGAGAGACGGCTCAGTGGTTAAGAACACTGGCTGTTCTTGCAGAAGACCCTGGTTCAAATCCCAGCACCCACATGGCAGCTAACAGCTGTCCATAACTCCAGTCCCAGAGGATCCGACAGCCTCTTGTGATCTCCATGGGCATTGCACGACACGGGTGCACTTACCTACATGCAGACAATACATGCATACACATTAAAAAGAATTTTTAAGAGCTGGGCGTGGTGGCGCACGCCTTTAATCCCAGCACTCAGGAGGCAGAGGCAGGCAGATCTCTGTGAGTTCAAGGCCAGCCTGGTGTACATAGTGAGTTCCAGGACAGCTGGGGCTACAGAGAGACCCTGCTTCAAAAAGACCAAAAAAAAGGGGGCGGGGAGCAGGGTAGAGAGAGAGGAGGCTGAGAACATTTTTTGATGTACCTGAAAAAGATCTTGTATCTGATATTCATGAGAAATTTCAAACGTTCCTAATAGAAAAAGCACCCCAGTTTAAAACACTGGCAGGAGATTTACACAGATGTTCGCCATGGAAGATGTAGGTGGCAAAAGTACACAGGAGAAGATGCTCAGTACTGAGGCATCAGCCACCAAGGAAGGGAGATGCCATTGCAGGTCTGAAGACCTGCCAGTTCCAAGGCCAGCAAAGGACAGGAACCTCAGACTGGGTGCGGCAATACAGCATCTTGTAGGCACTTTGGCAAAGTCTGGTTGCATCCTGTTAGGTTATGCGTAAACATGGCATGCACCCCAGTGGTCCTTCTCCACCCAAAGAGGAAATTCATTCAAGAGCCTGTATCTTAGTGTTCACAGTGGTAGGAAAAACAAAAACAGCAACTGTGTAAAGTGAGACACTTTCAACGCACTGTTCCTGAACAGGCAAAAAAAACCCTAAGGTCAGAAAACAGGTCAGTGGTTGCCAGAGTCTGGGGCTGAGGGGCAGGCTTGGCAAGAGGGGGCATGTAAACATGTTTGGGCACCCAGACTCTTCTGTCTAGGTTGCTGGCATCTACATAACTAAGCATTTGCCTAAACCCAGAAAGGTGCCTAAAAAAGGTAAACTTGCCATAAGTTCCATCACCCTGACTTTAGGGGGAAGACACTCTCCCATGGAGTTCAAGCTATGCTTAGTGAGTGTCAGATGACATTAGTGCTTCTTTGGGTATAGGCAGTGGGCTTCAGCTCTTACAGATAATGCAGAGCCTATCACCTGCTCCCCCACCTGCAAGGATGGGGGAATGTTAAAGATAGGAACTAATGATAGCAATAGCAGATGAGAGGCCAGAGCACAGCATCTGTCCACTTTCCGTGGGGAGCACTAACTGCTGTGACTGAGTCTGAGCACACCTTTCCATGGCCTCTTCCCTCCTATGTCCTCCCATAAACCTTTTTCAATCTTGAGTCACACTCCTTGATGCCTCTTGAACTTTTCTTAAATCCCAAGGGGCCAGAAGTAAGACACAGTGCTCAAGAACCACAGACTCCATACAGTGCCTACCCTAGATGACGTCCCCAAACTACTGCTGCCCCAAGAGCCTCAAGGGATCTCCTCACCTACCTTTGTTTCAGAGCCCCAAACTCTGTGACCTGAAAGGAGCCACCTCATTGGTTTTCAAGCACTGTGCCTCTGGGAAGCTTCAGAGCTGTAATTGGTTTCTGTCTTAGAAGTCAAGAGGTGCAGAAATCTGGGTGTCGTAGTCAGGCGAGTCTTACACCACCCACATCCCTCACAGGGAGACACCTGGATGCTTGTTTGCCAAACATCATTTTTATTTGGCGCAGAGATAAATGGATCGAGAGTGAAGACGGGGACACCGCAAGGGGTGCTCTATTGGCCAGTCTCACCTGGTCCCTTGGTTGTGAGGGCCTGTTACTGCAGCCGCTCCGTGCCCATGCCTCTCCCAGTGCCCTCCCTGCCTCCTCTCATGAGCCTTCCTCTACTGTGTACCTGGTGGCTGTCGCCAGTGTTCCTCGGGATGGACACTTGGGACAGTTCCTTAGTTCCTCTCACAAGTGTAGCAGGTCTGAAGGAGAAGGCTCACTTCTGAGAACTGGGCAAGAGACAACTACCCCACCCCTGTGAGACAGTCCAGGACCACTCCACTGTTGACAGTGACTGCAAGTGCCAGACTGTCTGTCACCTTCCAGGCTTCCTCCCCAGACATTTCCTCTAGGCCTTACTGTCTCTGTTTTTGTTGTCTTTGGAACCTAGGGACTAAAGCCACCCCAGGACATGTACACACACACACACACCACTCCCCCCACATCCTGCATCTGGAGTGGCAGCTCAGGGCAGAGCCTCACTGAGCTGGAATTCCACCCCCTCTACCCCCTTCCTGCTCAAAGCACCTTTTAGACCTCTTCCTCTAAGCTACTCCCAGAGAAACTCGAGTTTCATTAAAGTGCCTCTCTCCCTGCACGGGCTTGGGTCTGTTGGAGGTGTCTTCTGACTATTGCTCTATATTATTGGCCATTTGTCATTTCCTTTCTAATCTCTGGATTGTCATGAAGTGAAACCAGTAGTTATGAACCCTCAGCCTGTCCCCTTGCTGCTGTGGAGCCCCTTCTAAACCAGTAACGTTCACAGGGCGGCACTGACAGCTTCTCCGTGCTTCCTGTCTGGGTGTCCTCCTTTTGACTGTTGTTGGGTTTTTTGGTTGGATGCGTGTTTTTGTGATTTTTTGAGAAGAAAAAGGAACACGGCACTAAAATGTCGTTAAATAAGCACAACTCTTGAGGGCTGGAGACATGGTGCCTATGGCCCTGGGTGCCAGTGCATCCCAGCAAGTGCAGAGCTGACCTGGAAGCTGCCCAGCGCGTCCTGTGTGTCTGGTCTGTCACCCTGTGTGTCTGGTCGTCTGTAACAGGGCTCTGTCACCCTGGCTGACCATGCCATCAGCAGGAGAAAGTAGGCTTATCTTCATTTAATTTCTTCAGTGTTTCAGGAGTTTAAAACAAACTCTTAGGGCTGGAGAGATGGCTCAGCAGTTAAGAATACTGACTGTTCTTGCAGAAAACCTGGATTCAAATCCCAGCACCGACATGGCAGTTAACAAATGTCCATGACTCCCGTCCCAGGGGATCCGACAGCCTCTTCTGACCTCTGTGGGCTTTGCACGACACGGGTGCACTTACCTACAAGCAGGCAATACAAACATATACATAAAAATAATAAATTGTTTTAATTAAAGAAAAAAAACTCTTAAATTCTCAGCAGAGCCAGTCAGATCTGCCTATGTAAGTAGGAGAAAAGAGATGTCCTGTGTTCACAAGCAGGTGTAGTTGTCAAAGCCAGCACTGCTACTGCCCAGCTGGGGGCCCTTGGGGGTCTGAGCCTGGGTGGAGAGCACCTACAGGCCATTCTCCCTACCAACGGACTTCATAAAGCCAGGGCCCAGACTAGAGAACCCAAACCACCAATATCAAAAAAGTAACTTTGCTTTTTGACCCAGGGTATCACTAGCCCAGGCTGGCCTGTAACATACTAGGTAGACCACACTGCCCTCAAATCTATGGCACTCCTCCTGCCTCAGCCTCCTGAGACACACTGGGATCACACCCAGCTCAGAAGTGACCATCTTCTTAGTGTTGAGCCTAATCTAGTGTTTTCTATCCTTGAAGATCCCTGAAGAGCATGATCTGGAGAGTCAGATCCGCAAGGAGCGGGAGTGGCGGTTCCTACGGAACACACGTGTCAGGAAGCAGGCACAGCAGGTTATCCAGAAGGGTAAGGGCACAGTGCCCCACAGGAGCAGGCCATCTGCCAGGCACATTGGACCTGTCTGATTCCCTCTAGAGCACTGTGGGTTCTAGAAAGAAGAGTCCGAGGATGGACAGTGTCTGCAGAGCAGCCTGCCAGGCTGTGTACAGTGCAGTCTGCCTTGAGGTTGCCAGCCCTCAGTGCTGCCACTCCAGAGCCCCTGTACAGTGTGTACACAGACAAGGGGAAGGAGCCCAGCTTAGATTTGCCAAGGGTGGGCTGGCTACCAGCACTGAGCCCACCACTCCCCCTAGGAACATTTAAGGACCCCAGGTTCTCCTGGCCAGACCAGAAGCAGGTATATCAGGCCAGGAGGCTTTCCTCCGTCCACCCTAGAGCTGTGCTCACTGGCTAAGGAGGCCTGTGATTCCCAAAGCACCCTCTGGGTACCCAGAGGTCCATGTAGGTATCTGAGGCTGTGGCAGGAGGTGCCGTCTTCCTTCCTTGCACTGCAGTAAAGGTAAAGGCATAGACCCCACAGCTGGGGATGCACCCCAGAGACACCTCAGGCTAGAAGCCACCCCCATCAGTTTGTGCTTTCAGCCTCTCGGATGTAATGTCAGTATGCTGTAGACACAAGCCTGGCTCATTACCATGTCTCTTTCAGGCATTACCAGACTGGACGATCAGATATTTCTGAATAGGAACCCTGGCGTCCCCTCTGTGGTCAAATTCCACCCCTTTACACCATGTATCGCGGTGGCCGACAAGGACAGCATCTGGTAGGCGCGACGTCCTGGGACCTTCCTCCCCTGGTGCCTTTCACGAGCCCTCCTCCTCTGTCGTGCCTCCTCTACTCAGACTCCCTTCTCACCTCTCATTGCCGGCACGTCCCAGCCTGGCCCTCACATGGGCTGCATTACTGAAGCATGGACCAGGGTGAAGAGTTTGCCCCTTACCTGCCATGCAGGATCAAATGGGTGACAGTTGAGTTTAGTGTACGCGAGGCTCCGTCCAGGGGTAATGGAGAGACGACTGGGGGAGGCACACAGTTTATAAAATGCCTGTAGTTCTTCCCTGCTTTGATTCCTCTTTTTCTCCAAAATTGTGGTAAATTATAGATAATGTAAAACTGCCATCATAACCGCTTACAATCAGAGACATGCTGTGTAACCAGCCCCACCACTACTTCCAGAGTGTTCTCATCTTCCTACAGCAGAACTCTACACAGTGAACCTAGTCCATCTATGCCGCAGAGACTTCATTCTCCTTCTGTCTCTGAATGTAACTCCTCTAAGGACATCTTAGGAGTAGAACCTTTTGTGACTGGCTTCTTTCACTGAGCTTAATGTCCTCAAGGTTCACCCACATTGTAGCTTATGTCAGAATTTCTTCCTTTTCAGGGCCAAGTAATATTCTTTTGTAAGGGCCTACTATATCCTGTTCAGCTGTCCAGGGCACTTCTCCTTCTGTCTCTGAATGTAACTCCTCTAAGGACATCTTAGGAGTAGAACCTTTTGTGACTGGCTTCTTTCACTGAGCTTAATGTCCTCAAGGTTCACCCACATTGTAGCTTATGTCAGAATTTCTTCCTTTTCAGGGCCAAGTAATATTCTTTTGTAAGGGCCTACTATATCCTGTTCAGCTGTCCAGGGCACTTGGGTTGTTTCTGCCTTTTGGCTGTTGTTAACATGGGTGTGTGAGGTGACTCTGGGACCCTTACTTTCAGTGTTTGGGGGAATCTCCCGCAGGCAGAACTGCTGGGCTATAGTCTTCTTCCTCGTACCAGCAGTTCACAGGGCTCCAGGTTGTCCATATGCATGTCCACACCCACCAGCTTCTGCTCTGGTTGTAGCCATCACATGGCCACGAGGCAGTATCCCGCTGGATTTTGCATTTCCCTAATGAGTATCTTACTGTAATCGCTCTTATTCCTTCAAGTTTTTGGGACTGGGAGAAAGGAGAGAAGCTGGACTATTTCCACAACGGCAACCCTCGGTATACCAGGGTCACTGCCATGGAGTATCTGAATGGCCAGGACTGTTCCCTGCTGCTGACGGCCACAGGTGAGTATCCTGGGTGCAGAACACCTTCTGGCCTATGTGGCCCTAGGGTTCAGAGAACATGTTCACACCATGTGTCTTCTGTAGAAACACTGCTCGGGGTCCCATCGTTTAGAAATGGGGAGGTTTGCAAAGGAATGACCTGGGCACAGAGGCAGGAGTCCAGAGGGGACAGTGTCAGTCAGGGCTCGAGTTCCCAGTTCTCCCATGACCTGGAAGGGTCTGTCCCCCTAACTGTCACGGGGGATGCGAATGGCCCCCCAGATGACACATGAGAATAAAGGGGACACTCTATGCCACGAGGTCCACCAGGCCCACATGCCCATGATGGTCCCAGGCTGTGTCTGGGCCTTCTTTGCAGGCCAACTTCCTTGTTTCTGAAGGGTAGGTGGGAAGGAGTGTTTGAGAGCCCCTTCAGTGCCCTTCTCTCCCTCCCTCATCTCCACTTGCCTGTGCTCTCTGTTCTCTTACAGGCTTTCTTTTGTTTTGGGGCAGTTTGGTTGGTGGGGGGGAGGGGGGCAGTCTGAAATGTCTTAATATCATGCTCTATTTTGAACAATAGTTTTCCAAGTCACTTACCCTAGTTTGGTTGCTTTTTTGTAATTGTTTTGTGTTGTGTCCCTTTATCTGAGACAAGGTCCCTATAGCCCAGGCCTCACTCACTACATAGCCAAGGATGGTCTTGAACACCTGACTCTTATGCCTCCATTGCCCAAGTTCTGGGATTACAGATGCGTGTCACCACACCCTGTTTCCCGTGCTGTGAACTGAACCCAGATCCCGATGCACGCAGTGGGAGCAGTCCGCCAGCTGAGCTGCACCACTTCCCCCATCGTCCTAGCACTTTAAAACCTGATTCCTAGCTCAGACTGCAGCTCGGTGGTGGAATGCTTGCCTGGCATCACAACACTTAGGTTTCATCCCCAGCACCACAAAAATTACAAAAATAAAGTAAAAATAAAAACAAAAACACCTGTGGCAGCACTGAAGGCCTTCCTTTTGGCTGTTGTTAACATGGGTGTGTGAGGTGACTCTCAGATCCTTTTGGCAGTTGTTAACATGGGTGTGTGAGGTGACTCTCAGATCCTTTTGGCTGTTGTTAACATGGGTGTGTGAGGTGACTCTCAGATCCTTTTGGCTGTTGTTAACATGGGTGTGTGAGGTGACTCTGGGACCCTTACTTTCAGTGTTTGGGGGAATCTCCCGCAGGCAGAACTGCTGGGCTATAGTCTTCTTCCTCGTACCAGCAGTTCACAGGGCTCCAGGTTGTCCATATGCATGTCCACACCCACCAGCTTCTGCTCTGGTTGTAGCCATCACATGGCCACGAGGCAGTATCCCGCTGGATTTTGCATTTCCCTAATGAGTATCTTACTGTAATCGCTCTTATTCCTTCAAGTTTTTGGGACTGGGAGAAAGGAGAGAAGCTGGACTATTTCCACAACGGCAACCCTCGGTATACCAGGGTCACTGCCATGGAGTATCTGAATGGCCAGGACTGTTCCCTGCTGCTGACGGCCACAGGTGAGTATCCTGGGTGCAGAACACCTTCTGGCCTATGTGGCCCTAGGGTTCAGAGAACATGTTCACACCATGTGTCTTCTGTAGAAACACTGCTCGGGGTCCCATCGTTTAGAAATGGGGAGGTTTGCAAAGGAATGACCTGGGCACAGAGGCAGGAGTCCAGAGGGGACAGTGTCAGTCAGGGCTCGAGTTCCCAGTTCTCCCATGACCTGGAAGGGTCTGTCCCCCTAACTGTCACGGGGGATGCGAATGGCCCCCCAGATGACACATGAGAATAAAGGGGACACTCTATGCCACGAGGTCCACCAGGCCCACATGCCCATGATGGTCCCAGGCTGTGTCTGGGCCTTCTTTGCAGGCCAACTTCCTTGTTTCTGAAGGGTAGGTGGGAAGGAGTGTTTGAGAGCCCCTTCAGTGCCCTTCTCTCCCTCCCTCATCTCCACTTGCCTGTGCTCTCTGTTCTCTTACAGGCTTTCTTTTGTTTTGGGGCAGTTTGGTTGGTGGGGGGGAGGGGGGCAGTCTGAAATGTCTTAATATCATGCTCTATTTTGAACAATAGTTTTCCAAGTCACTTACCCTAGTTTGGTTGCTTTTTTGTAATTGTTTTGTGTTGTGTCCCTTTATCTGAGACAAGGTCCCTATAGCCCAGGCCTCACTCACTACATAGCCAAGGATGGTCTTGAACACCTGACTCTTATGCCTCCATTGCCCAAGTTCTGGGATTACAGATGCGTGTCACCACACCCTGTTTCCCGTGCTGTGAACTGAACCCAGATCCCGATGCACGCAGTGGGAGCAGTCCGCCAGCTGAGCTGCACCACTTCCCCCATCGTCCTAGCACTTTAAAACCTGATTCCTAGCTCAGACTGCAGCTCAGTGGTGGAATGCTTGCCTGGCATCACAACACTTAGGTTTCATCCCCAGCACCACAAAAATTACAAAAATAAAGTAAAAATAAAAACAAAAACACCTGTGGCAGCACTGAAGGCCTTCTGAAGTCTGTTGGGTAGAAAGGTGGCACAGGGCTAAGGGGGAGGTGTCCTGAGCCCACCATCCCAGGCCTCTCCTTCCTACCCCCAGCCTGGGCCTGGACTTCGTGTCTAAGCCACTGAGGGCACCAGTTATTCCTCACAAAGTACCCGTCTCCTTCTCAAAATGTGTGTCACAGTGAGAACGTTTGCCCCGAGAAGCCGCTGCCTAGCACTGCCACCTCAGGACCAAAGCCAGTCCCTCAAGCCCAGGGCACCAGGACTGGCCAGGAATGACCTGTGCACAATGAGTTAGGGACCACAAGGCACAGCCAAGGCTAGAAAAGAGGTCAGACCATGAGTCTTGAGGCACCCAAGCGGAGGGCGAGGGAGAAGTGGAGATGTGAGGGAGGGAGAGAAGAGGGGAAGGGGGGGCATCGAACGGGCTGGGGTCCTTTGGAGTCCGTTCTCAAGGGAGACACCACCGAAGGACCCAACTCCAGAGGGCCTCATTCTAACCTCTAAAAAGCAAGGTGGAGGGGGTCTTGCCATTTCAGGCTTAAGAGCCCATCTGCTCTGTTCTCTCTAGCTTTGCTTAGACTGATGTGTGTATAGAGCACCAAGGGGGGGCCATGGGCAAGGGGGAGGCCCCAGAGTGCTTTCCTCAGGGGAACTAAGTGCATGTCATAGAGAGGCTAGACCCACAAGAGGAGAGGAATGGGCAAGGTGAGCTCCAGCTCTGACCCACCTCCTCTGCCCTGAGGAGGGAGCTTGGTGCTGCCTGCTCTGGACAGGAGGAGCCACCCGATGGTCAGGCTGGCTGATGTGGAGCCTGTGTAGCTGCCATTTCTGGGAGAGAGCACTGGTCGAGTCTCCCTCTGCTGCTAGCACCCCAGGGTTGCTCAGGTCAGAACAGCAGAAATGAGCATCCAGAACACTGCAGCTACATCTCAGAGGTAGGGGTGGGGCCCGACTTCCAGGGCAAGGGTCTGGCCCAGGGCATGGGGTCACATCACCTTTCTCCCTCCCCAGATGATGGTGCCATCAGGGTCTGGAAGAATTTTGCTGATTTGGAGAAGAACCCAGAGATGGTGACTGCATGGCAGGGGCTCTCAGACATGCTGCCAACAACCCGAGGTGGGTGTGGGTGCCCTAGAATAAGGCAGTCTTGAACTGTGGGAGATGTTCTGTGGCCTCCAGGCCAGCCCCCACAGGTCACCCATTCACTTCAGAGTCCCCAGAATCACCCAGTGAACTCCCCCAGCAGCCTCAAGATCAGGTCAACCTCAGGGATCCCCGTGATCTGCCATGTCTCAGGTGTGGCCAAGTTGTCAGTGCTGTGGGTGGGCCTGCCCTCATTATGAAGCCAAGTGTGGCTTGGGAAGGTGTTGCTGCTGACTTGAGCATGAGCTGCTGACATCATGTCTACCTCATGCCAATTGAATGCTCTCCCGGGACCACTAAAGGGTGATATCCATCTGGGTGGAGGTTTGCCTGTACTATTGGGACCTGGACCTCCAGAACTTTGGGAAGGAAAACTTGTGCAGTCCGTGGTGACTCCTGGAAGAAGCTTCAGCTGACTAAGATGAGGAAAAGTGAAAGCCAGAGTTCCCACACAGTATCAAGAACTGCTCCCTGTGGCCGTCCCTCAGTCATACTGTAAGGTACTGTCATGTGGACATGTGCCTCCTGCAGTACTGAGGAACCAGATCCTACCCCCATGCATTCAGCCTCTGACCATGCCCCTGGGATGTAGGGCCTGCTTTATAGATGCACTGTTGGTGGCACATGCCCACCGTGACAGACAACTCAGAATTCCTACATGCTATACCCAGCTGAGTCAGGTTGCCCACTGGCCAGCCAGCCAGCTTTAGATTCCTCACCCTCACACAGCCCTTGAGCACTCCCCGCTCCCTAGTTCCACATGGCCTCCGACCGAAGGGTAGGTGTGGTCCTCCACCAGGGACCACCAGGAGAAACCAGCCATATCTAAGGGAAAGGACCTTTCTCGGGGACAGGCTATGGGCAGGCTGATGGCACACGTCTACATCTTAGGACACCAGTGGTGGCTGTTTGGATTTACCAACCCCAGGTAACCCTGGGGTTCTTTCTTTACTATGGTAGTCATGTGTAGAAAACATTCCTTGGAAGTGAACAGTGACTGAAGGGCAGAGCCCAGGCTTCTTGTGAGGTCTCAGGTGAGAGGAGCCATCAGGAGGGCTGAAAAGCCCGGGGCTCCAGGAGTAGACCATCAGGCAGGAGGTGGAACCAGGAAAACCCACAGGCTAGCCCCGTCCTGGGCAAGAAGCCGTCTTGTGAGGGGTTTGTTGTGCTCCTTGCTTTCCCCAGCAGTCACCAGATGCTGCCTCATAGATCCACCAACGGTACATCTATAAAGCAGGCCCCACATCCCTGGGGCATGGTCAGAGGCTGAATGCATGGGGGTAGGGAGGTCTGCCAGGTTCCCTCCAGGCCGTTGGCACAGACTTCAGCCCACCTCGTGCCCAAGCAGGTGACCCCAGAGCCAGCACTGTAAAGCGCCCCCCCGTAACGTAGACACACCACTCTGTCCTTTCTCATTTTCCTTTCTTACCCTTGTCTACGTCTTTTTTGTGATGTGGTTTACAAAGTCAGAGAACAGCTAGAGCGTCTGTGAGTTTAGAGGTAGAACATTTAAATGAGTCAGCCAGATCTGCTCATGTGGAGCTAAAAGAAAATGACCAGAAAACAGATTCTACTTTGCAGTTAAGTGTTTTGGCATGTAGAAGGCATGTTTTACTGCTTAGGGACACCTGCCACGTAGAAATGACTCAGGCACCAGGAAGATGCCCTCAGCCCAGGGACCAGCTCCTCTGGGGACACTGGAGACTAAGTGATGCTTCCACTGTGTAGAAATTGAACTTTTGGAGTTTAGGTATCGCTCACTAGAGCACTTGCCGGGCATGTGCCAGACCCTAGGTTCCATCCACAGCGTGGGGGGTGAGGATCTTATTTTAAATAGAAGCTATGTTTTATACAGGTATAAGTCACTCCCTGACCGGTGACTTACAGGAAAAGAAAGGGCATGCTTTTCTCAAACTTCGGGCTTAAGTAATCCTCCTGGCTCAGCTCTTCTGTAGCTGGGATGACAGGCATGTGCTGTTGTGCCCGGCAAGGCAGCCTCGTTTCACTGTGCCTGTCTGCCCTTCGACCCCACCTTGGTAGCCAGGCCTTGCCCTCCTCACAACCAAATGCTGGAGGGTGTAGGTGGCCCATAGCCTGTACAGAATCCCTGCTTTTCCTGAGTGAACCACGGTCCTGGTTTTCTGACTTGGCCAAAGGAAGGACTCATCTTCATGCCCTGGAGGCCCCCGGAAGGTGACCCAGACCTGATATTTGTGCCTCAGTATTGCAAAAGATGCACACGGTGGACAGAGGTTCTGAGATCTACCGTTCTGTAGTTCATACCATTCTGTAGTTCAGTGCCTTGTGGGAATGGAACGTAGCAGGGTTCTAGGAAAGGTCAGAACTCCATTCTCAGAACTGTTGCACCAACCTGGACTCAGGATCTGCTGGGAAGCCCAACCCAAGCTTACATGTGGGTGGAGACCCCAGCCTGAGCTCCTTGGAGCTGCTGGCTTCATGATTGGCCAGGATGCCCCCAGCCTGCTTGGAGCCCACAGGTAAAAACAGCAACCCACTGTATCTCCCTAGGAGCTGGAATGGTGGTGGACTGGGAGCAAGAAACTGGCCTCCTCATGAGCTCAGGAGACGTGCGGATCATCCGGATCTGGGACACAGACCGTGAGACGAAGGTGCAGGTAACTACTCTGGGCTCCTGTGTAGGAACCCATGCTACATCGTCCCAGACTCTCCACTCCCACTCCACAAACAACTAGATCCCATCCTCCTCACAGAGAACCAAGACCTATGGCCTGCAGGCAAGTGCAGTTGGTGACTGCCTCCTAGTGGTCTGTGGGGAGGCAGATGGGAGGGTGGCACCTTCTCACCAGGCAAGAAGGTAATTACCTCTGGGTGCACATTAATCGTGGCACTCTGACCCTACACTGCAGCATAATTAAGCCTGTGCTAATCCAAATTATTTTCAAGCCTGTTTTCTCTGTGAAAATTAGTGAATATCAGTAATCAGCAGGGTGAAATATTTTAAATTAGAATGGCTAATTATTTGACTGTGTTCCTCCCCTGTGGTGCTGAGAACAAGGCTCAAGGCCTCATGCATGCTACGCACGTGCTCTACTACTGAGATACTTCCTAGACCCTTAGATCCTCTTTCATTTTCAGCACTGTTTGTTTATTTTATTTTATTTTATTCAGTTTTAACACAATACATTAGTTTTGCCTAAGATACCTAGGCTGTCTTGCCAGAGCCCAGCTGCCCCTACCTCCTTTGGGTCCAAGGCAAATTACACACAGTGTAGGGGCAGCACCTGAGGAGCTGAGGGACATCTGTCCTGGATGCCCAGAGAGGTGCAGAACAGAGACTGGCCACAGCATTCTCCAACCTGCTCTGCTGAAGTGGAGACATAGGCTGCCTGTGGTCAGCTCTGCAGTGCTGAAGGCCTGCGACATGCAGGAGGAGTGACGAGAGCTGACAGGGTGTGAGGCCCGCTCCCCCGCATGTGTTAGAGCCTTCCGTGGTGACAGCACTTCTGCCCAGGAGGGGCTGCATCATGAGGTCATGCCCTCCGAGATCACCATGGGTGGTCTCTCCTCACTTTCCTTACGTCCTGTGATGCCCTCAAACAGCTCCAGTTATGCTGTCCTTCAGGGGTCCCTGTACTGTGGGCAACAGAGCCTGAAGGGGCTTGCTGCTCTAAGGGCACTGTGTGGAACCCTGGCTCAGGAGCCCATCTCCCTGTGGGGTAACAGCTCCTCAGAGCAGCACTGCTGACCTGCTGGCCGTCTCCAGGTCCTGAGCCAAGTCTGTTCAGTTGCTGCACCTCTGTCCCTCACTGCTGGCATGGGGGAGGGAGATGGCTTAAAGGCCCTACCATTACCTCCCGCAGTTGCTGTTCTGTTCCTGAATTCTCTCAAGCTTGCCCCATCTGATTGGAAGCTTTTTTCCCCCCTCTGAGGCCCAATTCCTCTCCAGCTCCCTCCTGCCACCATCCATCACTTCCCCTGTCCTTCTGCAACATTTATGGCCCCCACAGGGGAGCAGGGGGGCAGCCCTTCAGCTCTTCCCTTGACTAATTAGGGATCTGAAGAGGGAGTTAATGAGGCTTCCTCCCTGCCAAAATGTGCTTCATCTTTTCTTTTCAGGAAAAAGGAGATGTTGTTGGAAAGTTTAATTGGCACTGAGAGACTCGTGTCCCCAGAGGTGCCTGCAGGCTGTGCCCAGGCACAAGCCTCTAGGCCCAGGCGCAGAGCAGGCACTCAATCAGCCTTGGGCCACAAGAGCCCTGTGCTATCCTTGGCCCAGCTCTTCAGCTGTGCTGGCCTTGCAGTCTGGGAAGGAAGTAGACATGTCCACAGTAGGCACTGCAGCCAGACCCCTCCTCACTGCACTCTTTCTGGGCCTAGGACATCCCCACGGGCGCTGACAGCTGTGTGACGAGTCTGTCCTGTGATTCCCACCGCTCACTCATTGTGGCTGGCCTGGGCGACGGCTCCATTCGTGTCTATGACCGGAGGATGGCGCTTAGTGAATGGTAACTCCACACCTACCTCTCCAGTGCTGTTGAGGCTCTTTCCAGGAGGCTGCGGTCACCTCCCTGCCAGTGAAGAGTCCAGGTTGCTGTGAGAGAGAAGTGTGTCCTTGGTCTCACAGTGAGCACTGAGACCATCTGGAGAGGACTCCAAGCACACTCGGTACAGGCTCATCCCCGCAGCACATGGAGAACAGGCCGTAGCCGGGCCTAGTGGCCTGGGACATGCTCATGGGGCAGACTTCCTGGAAAGGTGTCTGCATCTCCACTTGGTGTCTCACACATCAGCAGTGCTACCACCTGCCACCTCCTGGGTCACGTGTGTGGTATTCTGGGAGACTGGAACACATGTGAGCACAGCCTAGTGCTGAGCAAGCATGAGTTGTCACTGCCGTAGGCCTTGCTGCTCGGCAGAGGGGCTACCAAGCAGGCTGGTGGGCAGATGTCATTATCTCCCTTGAAGGAAGGGACTGAGCCGAGGCCCAGGGCCACCAATGACCTAGATCTGTGCAGCCCCAAAGTCCTGCTCCTGGGACAGTGTATCTCTTAAATACCCGCTGTGTCCTGGAAGGCAGACCAGCCACATGCAGCGACCACCACAGGCTGTAGGAGCCTCAATGGATAGGGGCAGTGGGACAGGATCCAGCTAGAGTATCAGCTTAGGCAGTGGGACACACCAGGTCCCGAGAACAGAACAGGACTGTGGACCTGAGGCTTGGGTGGTGGGCGATTGCATACCCCAAGCCGCCCTCTGCCAGAGAATAGCTTTGGTCATGTGTCACTACCAGAATGGTAGAGACCCACCCTCCAAAATCAGCCATGATCGGACACCCCTGCTGGTGGGCACAGTCTCTTCTGAGCTGACGAAAACTCTGAAACACGAACAGTGCACTGGGGACTGCGCAGACCTGGAATCTGTGCTGAGCTCCACCAGATTGCGTTTGTGTTTTCATGGGGCTGGGTGCAGAGGGGCTTTTTGTTTGATTGTTGAGACAGGACCTCACATAATAGGCTGGCCAGTCTCATTGTATAGCCCAGATGGCTTCAAAGTCACAACAGTCTTCCTGCCTCAGCCTCCCGGTGCTGAGATTTCTGGCATGAACCACCCCTGCTACAGGGCTGGTGGTGCGGCTCTTGCCCAGTGGAAAGGATAGGACCCTTTCTTCCCCTGGACCTGTGGCCAGTCAAGGCCGTACCTACCTTTCCCTTCCACGGCCCTGGGCATGCGTCTTAATCCTCTGTCCATCCCCTCGTATCAGTCACATGTCCTACCCTCTCTGATGAAGCCTATACAAGCTGACCCAACAGAAACAGCAGGCCTTCCCACTAAGCTGCTCCAAGTGGATGGTGTCCTTTAGGGCAGAGACCAGTAGCCCCCCACCCCTCACCTAAGATCTGGCACCTAGACTCCAAGGCCAGACGGCAGCGGGGG